GAAACTAAAGAAGGCCACGTTTAAAACGGTTTCGCAACTCTTGCGCCGATGATGTCGCGGCAGCTGCGGCCCAGGCAGCGGTGGCGCGGCAAGTGCCGGGCCTGCAGCCAGACGCCCAGAAAGCGGAGCATCGCGGCTTTGCGCCCCGCGCGGCAAAGCAGACGGCTGGGCAAGAAGCCAACCCGGTGAAACCCCCAGAAATGTCCTTCCGATTTTGCGAGTGCAGAAGCCAACTCACATGTCTTTAACATCCGATTTTGCGGATGCTACGGTGCCACACCATCCAGGCAATCGGCCGATGAGGGTGGGCTCAGCTTCTGATCTCCCACCGGAAACAAAGTGCTGTGTGGGTCGACCCCTGCCTTTCCAGAACGAAACGCCGAACCGCCCTCTCTGCCAGTCGGCGGTTTTAGATCTGAAGAGATCTTGGGCCAGCGGTTTCCAGCGGAGCAAAGAGGCGAAGCTTCTGAGCGTCTCTCGCCAAGAACACCAAGCCTCGGGCCTCTTACCCGCCCTTCTCGCGGGCTTCCGGAGCTCCAGGAAACCGAAGACAACATACCCGGTCACAAGTCCCCCCGATTTGGAGACCAGCCCCCACAAGAAGGTGCTGTGCCGCACAGATGTGTTGCGTATCAACCTGAAACAGCCTGTTTCCTGCCACGCGAATCCGGCCCCACTCTTGGCTGCACGAAGCGCGAGTAACAATTTCTCAGCTCAACTGGTGCTGTGTGTGTATATACTTCTTTCAGTTGCATGATTGAACCCCTTGCCATCTTGGTTGTTCTATCAAAATCCCTGCTGTGAGATGTCCACCCATCGTGAAAAGCCCATTGCCATGTCCTCTCTCTCCCAAACCACCCTTAAACACCACCTAGTCGTAACGCTCCACGAGAAACGCCGGGTTCTTCTAACCGCTTCCCCCCCCCGAGAGGAAAAAAATACCCCCCCCAAAAAAAAAAACAAAAAAAACTAAGACTCTCCCAGAAGAACCGGCCAAGGGGCGCTTTTCCACCCCGCGCCCAGCCTCGCCTTGCTGGGGAACTCCAGGTGCCCCAGGTCCGCCGCCACCCCGGAAGGCGGCACCTCTCTTTCACATCCGCATCCAAATCCATCAAAAGAGAGGGCCCAAGTCTCCCAAATCCTCCAAAAAACAAAAGCGAAATTGAAAAAAATGAAAAAAAGAAAAGAAGAAAGAAGAAGAAAAACAACAATCATCCAAATGTTTGTTGAAAGCCAACCGTCCCCAAAAAAGAGCGGAGCTTCCGTTTCCTCCAATGGCTCCTATTTTGGGGGCTTGAGTCAAAGGCTTCGCTGGCGTCACTTGTTTCTTTGTCTTCCGTGAGGAGAAGTACTCAGGCGCCGGCCGCGGCCATGGTCACATCCTGCACAGACACCTGGCATGGCCGGCTTCCTTCACGCGGTGCCGCGAAAGGGAAGAGAAGCCGGGTGCAGCTGGAGCGTGGAAAGAAAATTGATCATACTGTGGATCGACGAAATCCATTTCGAACCACCTAAGAACCCATCGAATGATGATTCCCCTGTAAATGCCAACAAACAATGGTTTCCCATGGCTTCAACATGATGCAGGATTCGTCCATCCACAGCAGGAGGGACATCCAGAAACGCCAGCTTTGACTAACCGTGTTGGACGAATTCCTTCCGCTCAAAGGGAGCTGTGCACTTCCGATAAGCCAATGTTAGCTGGTGGTAGGGTACCAAATGGGTGTGTCTTGCAATGGGGGGGTCCGGTGGGTTTATGTCCCTTCGATATCCCTCAAAAAGCAAATCCAGTCATAATCAAAACCCGGTACACAAATGGTTACCCCAGAACCACATAAAGAAGCAAGAAGGCGGATCTCCGCAGCTATTTCTGGCCAGGGCATCCTCCCTTACTAACCGGATCATCTCCCCGAATCGGTTTTGAGTGTGACCCTTTCCACCCTCAAAAACCCAGAACGCGACTCCCACATGGCCTTCGGTCTTGAGTGTGACCTTTTCTACCCATGGCAACCCGAACGCCTCCCTCCCGCCTCCTTCACGGACTCGTTCATGGACATGAGCATGGTGAGCGGCTGCCCGATGCCCCCAGCACCACCGTTGATGCAGACCTGCGGGAAGGCTTCTTCGACCGGGGAAGTTGCGACGAGGAAGGAACCCGCGGCTGAACGGGGCAGGTTCCTTTTGAGGGGCAAGCGGAACTCGGTGGAAATCGATATCTGCGAGGCCCGGCTAAAAGCTAAAATATATGTTTATTTATTGTTTAATATAAAACAAATGAAAAACAAACTTCTAGTGGGTTTGATGGAAAACCCCTAAAAGTGGGGTTTAAAAGTGAAAGTCCGAACATCCCTTGGCAAAATGCACCAAAGTGCAGGGGGGACAAATCAAACACGCTGGATCCAGAACTCCCAAACTCATTTGCATTTCCAATGCACATTGGTTTCCTGAAAACGGAGGGGTTGAAGCGCATGGATTTGGACCGGACAAAGGATGCCGCCCAATGTACGGTACATTTGTCGAAAGGCAAAAAGTCGATTGCAACAAGAAAAAAGCCACAACACCAAAGAGGAGTTCAGGAATCCTTTTCTGGAGGCAAGACTTCTTTGGGTGAGGGCATCCTGGCTTTGAAGGACAACTGAAGTTGAAACCTGCTTTTTGGGACGAACCCCCAATGTGTCTCAAAATGACCGGGACTCTCCCTCTTGGTTTGACTTCTCTTCAAAACCCTCCAAAAAGATGCGGGGGTACCACCTCCAAAAACGACTGTCCCCCTTTGCATTCCCTTTGAATCCACAAAACTGGGAAGACCAACAAAAAAAAGGACGAGTCCGCCCGAAACTGTCCCCCTCGCTTCTCCCTCACCAAGACGTCCCCTTTGCCGCGTTCCCTTCGCCGCCTTGAACTGCGCTGTGCTGAAGGCGGAGGTGGGCAGGTTCCGCGCGAGCCCGGCGCGCTGGAACTGCCTAGGGCAGCTTAAGGCTTCCGCCGGGGGTTTTCTTCGAGGAGAAACAAAAAAGAACGCGGCCACGGGAAAAGGAGCGGAAGGATGGTGGCCACCTAGAGTCTCCATGACCCTCAAGAAATGGGCCCATGACCCCTTCATTTTGGGCACTGACCCCTTTTTCAAGGTCACGTGTTGATATTTGACCGTGGTCTATTCTATGAATCCATGCATGCCGCCTTAGCCCCGTGCCCATGCCCGCCTGCCTCGCACTTGCGGCTCGAGGCGCTTTTTGTCTCTCTATCATCCATGCGGCGACCTTCTTGTTTCTTCTAGCCATGTCTTGAGTGCACTTCAACGTTTGGTCAAGAACAGGTGTCATGCTAGGGTTCATGCTGTGTATAGGGTTCATGCTGTGTGTTTTGTCACGCGTTCGACATGGCTTTGTCACAAGATGTCCCCAAAGGCATCTAGCAAATTTGTCCCATTTGGGATATGATACCTCCACAGGCAAGCATAGGCGTACCTGCGAAGCATGGGGTTTTCCCCATGGTCAGATTTATTGTGCAGCTGTGAGGGCACAAACTCATCGAGCCCCTGCCACCACCTGTCCAGCACCTGTGTCCCGGCAGTCGTGACGCCTCCTGCCTTCTGCTTTCGAATTTTGCGGGCGAATTGTTGGCGCCCATGGCAAACAGAAATGTTCTTAAGCTTCAAAACTTTGCATTCTGCCGGCCAGGCCAGCGCCCCATCTGAAAAGAGCACTGCCTTGTTCCGCCCAGACCGTCGCACATGTCGCAGAATCTTCACGCTTCGAATTTCCTGAGCCCGCTAGGCGCAGTTGCCAGCAACACAAAGCAGGAATCAGAATTAGAAAGAGGCGGGCTTAACGCAAAGCAAGCAAACTGATGGACGGCCCAGGCGCTTTCTGAGATTCCACAGGCGGAGAAGCCTGTGGTGGCACCAACTTCCACGGCAGCCATTGGATGGCGACTCGACCGCAAGAGGGGCGGCAAACGCACACGCGCCACCCGAAGGAGCAACACTAAGGCCAGGTGCTCCCGAAACTCCTCCATGCTGAGCCAAAACTAACGAGCGCCTGCTGATGCCGCAAACATCCCCCGCCCCCCACCCCCCACGCCACAAGCAAAAGGCCCACCGGCAACCTGGAAAAAGGTCTCACATGTCACGAAACCTAGGCGAAAACCGCGAAAGTGCTCGAAACACAGCGGTCGTTTATCAGCGCGCCTCCTTTTTTAAGGGTTATGGAGACTCCAGGTACAAAGACCGGCGCAGGAAGACTTGGCAGGACTTAGAGGCCAGGAGGAAGGAAGCTATTCTTTGATACCAGCGTGACTTCAAGTTGGTCACAGGCACGCTCTCCAAACGGAAGCAATTGAAGGGCATTGACCAAAGGCCTTGGGCAAACAGTCGCAAAAAGAGGCGATGCAAACAGATGACGAGAAATGTAGCCAGCAAGTGGCTGTTAGCGTCCAACGCCTATGCGCCTATCCGCCTCCTTTTCCCCCCCCCCTCGCCTGCCCAGAGAGCGAAGTGCTGCCATGGCTTTTGAATATCCACACGGGGCGCAGATCTGAACTGGGAGCCACAAAGGTTCGGCGCCCTCCGAACTCAGCTCTCGCCTGCTTGGATCTGGGTGCTGCAAAACAAATATCACAAGCTCTCAGCATGGTGCAACCTGAAACCAATGGCCGGTGCAAGTCCACCTGCTTTCTTTCAACAGGCCAGCAGAAAAAGGAACACCTGCCATGCGGTTTCGTCGCCGCCAAAAAAAAACACGGAAACCTCGGGTTTCCTCCCCCCCACACATGCGCAGTGCCGCCCAAAAAGACGAACCGCCCTGCAAGCAGTCGCCGGCTCCTGCATAAAAAGGAAGAAGAAAAAGGAAGAGAAGGAGAAGAAAACAAATGGAAAGCTTCTTGCTGGTGAAGGAGATGAAATCGCCGGCTTTCCCCAAGCTCCACCTTTCAAGGCCGAAAGAAACCAGACCAAAATGCGACCCAAAAAAAAGTCGCCGCCTCCACGCCCTTGCCCACGCCTCACGCAGGAACGCCAACGCGTCCGGGATCATCTCCAGCCTTGAGGCCAAGATAAGATGAAAAGTGTGAAGGGGTACCGTGGGCGGGCGAATGGCTGTGGGTCACTAGGTACACAAAATGGGTTGCCCTGGTAAATGGAAACATGGACTAATACCTGCGGTCCCCTGGTGGTTTAACTTTGACCCATACCCAAATGGCCATGGGTTGCATAACCTATGGCGAGCCATTTTGGGGTGGATGAACATCCATTTGCCATCTATTTTGATGTTCACCAGGGGTACAGGGTTTTGACCCACAGCCAAATCCTGCACCACCTTGAAACCATGGTTGAAGCCAGAACGTTGGTCGGGGAATCATCATACCAGGGCTTCCTAGGTGGTGCGAAATGGATTTCGTCCATCCACAATATGGGTCTCGCCTTTTCACCGAGGTGGTTCTCAAAGATCGTTGAAATGCGTGGAGAAACCCCTTCCAAAAATGGATTACCCAGTGTTGATAAACTACAAATCCCCTTTCCACTGAGGTATTGCTCAAACATCGTTGAAACTCGTTGATTTGAGACAGACCCATCGCTCCCGGTGCCATCTGCGCCCTTCCACCAACCGTGCCATGGAACATGACTCCGTCTCCGGCGGCAGTTGCCCGCATGAATTGGACCTGCCTTTTGGGCTGCGAACAACTACCTTGCCAACTTATGCATGCTGGATGATGGAGTGCAGCCAATGGAGGATCAGTTTTGGGATTTCAGCAGAAAGTATGCATGTACGCCTTTGGTGGAAGTGAACCAAATGGGAAGTTCCTTGGTAGTTCCATACCCCCAGCTACGACTCACAGCTGCTTTTTTGTCTTGGCCATGATAACCGCCTTGTTGGGCTCCCAAGGATCTACAAAACGAGAAGTTGGAATTTACTGTGAACCCTATACTCCTGGCTTCACCACCCTCCGACTGAGCCCAAAAACGCACTCAACAAAAAACCCGCAAAATGGGGTGCTTCCGATTTGGGTTTCCCTTCCGAAGGCCCCACATAGGGCAACTTCAAGCAAAGCCTAGCCGCATCCGAGGCGGCGGCAGGTTGAAATTTGGGATGTCCACCAGAGGAGCGCGGCCATACCTTTTTTGCCCAGATGCCATGGAAACTGCATGCCAACACAGTGTGGGGGTCGCTATGAAGGACACACGTCGCAAACCCCCTGTTGGCGCTTTAGAATTCAGACAGATGCGTGGGGTGCCAAAATGCCGAAACGCGCTTCTGATGCCATGGCTGGTCTCGGGAAATGGGCGATGTGTTGTGCCCTCAACCACCTGCAAAAAGAGGTACCAAGTCCCCAAACCACCTGGGCAATCAACAAATGGCCATGGGTCAAAATCCCCAATTCCCCCAGTGAACATCCCAATCTAACCACTAAAATAGGTTCTAAAATGGGTGGTGAGTTCACCGACCCCAAAAATGGGATCTCAAAGCGGTTTTGACAACCGTCTTGTTTGAGGGTATCCATGTTGGAAGGTGTGAGAAAAAAAAGGAAGACCCGGGCCCGCCGTTTTGGGTTTTGGGCCCGATTCCTTCAAAAAAAACAAGAGACAGACCCGTAGAGTGGCAAAAGCTGGGACCCACCGGTTGGGTTCGTGTTGTTCCCGTAAACCCCCTCCCAAAGGGTCAATAAGTTCGGACACGACAGCCCCCTAGGTAGAGGGAGCCGCCCATAGTCCCCGATTTTTGTCCCGTTTGTGCCTATGTTGAGGGTACCCCTTTTGCCTTGGTTTAAAGGAAAAACACCATTCACAGCCGAATAAGAACTAACAGCCCAAGCTGAAGCCGTTCCGCCTGAAGTGATTCGGGTGCTTCTCCGGCATGGTGGGGTGCGCTATCAGGACCTCAGACTTTGGCTCCCGAGTCGCGCATTCCTGATATGGCGGATGATTTAACCGCCAGGTAAACCAGGAATCGCCATCGATTTTTCGACCAAAACAACTAAAAAGGACACCTATGTTCCTGATATTTCACCGGTATACGCTCAGGAGTTAAGATTCCTGTTTCAGTGGGATCTTTGTGTTTCTGGGCAGGTTTCTGGGTAATCGACTCAGCCACAAAGCAAAGGGAGCAACACATAAGCGTTTGCCTACCCTACCCGTCCCGTCCCAAGCCGAAAGCTCGAAACGCGTGTCCAAATATGGGCCGAAAGGACCCAAACGGCAACAGCATCAAGCTTCATGCTGGTTTCCCTTCAGCATGCACCAGGCGTCCTGGAAGCGTCCCAAGCTAGAAACACCCCAAACATTCTCCACCACTCTGTTTCACAGGGGAAAGGGTTGAGTTTCATTTTCTGATTGCCCAGGAAGTTGCCCCCAGCTGTCAAAAGTATGGTCGCCTTCTTTTTTTTGTCTTCGCGAAGGGCGGCCATGGTACACGTCACCAAAAGGTTACTGAGACAACTGGTGTCTTTCTCCGGTGGACACCAAAGGAAAACCAACTCACCCAGCTGGATCCAGGCCATCCTCGCAAGTGCCATCTCTGGCTTGGAGATGAATTCCTCTCTGGGAACCGAGGCAAGCCCGCTGACCCCAAGCTCTTTGGAACCAACCACCAAGGGATACTCCTTCCAAGCGCCACTGTGATGCTCTGCCCAAAAAACATCGATTCCGCAGAGCCGCCCCAAACACCAGAAACCACAACGCTCGGCCCAAAAGAATCGAATCCGCAGACGAATGACTCCCTTCAAACCAAGAAACCGAAGCAGATCCGCCCCAAAACCAGAAACCGAAACGCGCTGTTTTCTCCGGGCCCTCAGAAGCGTCTGGAGTCATGCGGCTCGCTTCAAGCAAGAAACCCAAAGAACTTGCGATCGGTGCGCAAGATGCAGGGATGAGAAATGGAATGATCCCAGGGGTCCCCTTCAAGGAATAGGGGATGGTTTACAGAGGATGGTTTACAGAGATGGAATCAATGAACCGTTCCGCAAAACATGGAGTCTGACCCCAAGGAAAACCATCCACCTGGTGGTTTGCTTTGAGGGAAGCCCTAGGGGAATGACCCATTCTTACAAAACCATCCAACTGCTGGTTTCTCTGTTGCTTTCTGCTCCCCTGCTAAAAGTTCAACTTTTAGCGGTTTCATGGAAAACCCATTTGTTGGCAAAAAGTTATAAAGTCCTAACATCCAAGCAAAAGGGCTTCAACTGGTGTCCTTGATTCAGGCAGGGGATGGTTTACAGGGATGGAATGACCCATTCTGATGTGTATATATACATATGTATGTATTAAAAAAAAAAAAAAAAAAAAAACGGAGTGGTGGTGTCCCATGTCTTCGGGGACTCCACTGGGTTCATGTTCTTTCCCGAGCACCCGCGAGAGAGAAGCCGCACTTCGGCCCCGCGCGTGGGAGATCTTCCGCTTCTTCATGGCCGCCTTGTCCGAGGCCGCCTGGAGAGGCGAAGGGGCTCCAAACGCCTCGCTTGGCGAAGGGTGGCGAATTCACCTGGCAACCGGAATGGTACCATTGCTGACCCGCAGCCATATCTTGCTGTACCTGGAATCTACAGGGGAACACCACTTGCTTCGCCCTGCTTGCCGAAATCAAACCCTGAAAAAGAAAAAGAAGAAACAAAAACGGAGAAACCCGCAGAAAAGGAAAAAAAAGGACGAGGGAAACCGAAAACAAAAACCCGCAGAAGAAGAAAAACATGGGGCGCTCCATTTTGATGGCCGCACATGGATTTGCTTCGTGGGGTTGCCTTCGAAACTCTCCAAACAGGAAGCCCCGACTTTGCAGCAAAGAACCTCTGAGCCTTGCTTAGCCATGGTCCTCGGACGGTCCTCGATTGATCTGGAGCGTGGCTCACGAAGGAACCTCCTTCTAGCTTTAAGAGATGAGCCAAAAGGCACCCGCCATTTGTGTCTTTGTTTGCTTCTCCGGGGGGAAGAAATATGGTCACAGCAGCACATCTTTCGAGCATGGAAGCTGCCAAAAAGTAGGCGTGTGATTTGCTGAGTACACCTTTCGCCTTGATTGTTTGGTTGATTTTACCCAAAGGAAAGCTACATTTAACGTACACCTTGACACATACCCATGCTCATGGCTCCCAGAAAGGAATCCTTACCACGGTCTCACTCTTCAAGGTTGATGACCGTCCCGAGTGGCCAACCCCAAGTTGGCAAGAAGGGAGTGTTTTGACATGAGCCCTCTACAGAGGACGTGTTTTGATGCGAGTGTTTGGGGGTTTGAAAGGGACACCAACAGGAAACCACAAAATGTGTGGGGGGGGTTCAAAGAGAAACCAACGGGAAACCACAAAATCTGGGGGTGTCAAATCAAAGCCAACAATTGTTGGCATGGGTGGCCTTTTGGAAACATAGATGGACCTACTAAATGGAATAAACCCCATCTAAACCAGGAATCGCCCTCTATTTTTTAAGCAAGCCAACCAAAAAGGACACCTATGTTTGTGGGGGTAGCCATTATTTTGCAAAAAGTTAAAGTCCTAACATCCAAGCAAAAGGCACCCAAAGAACAATTGTTGGTCTTATTCTCTCAGCGCAACATTCCGCCAGTTCGCTCCTTGGCAGCGCCCAGAAACAGGCCTCAGATGGGCCAAAACCCCCCGCACCCACCACCCCCAACGCCCATAACATGGCGGGTGAAGTGAGCTTTGGGCGTTGCTGGCCATTTGACCGCCAGTGGGGTGTAAGCCTTTCATAGGGGAACCCTTTGCTGGAAAATATTCAGGCGGGGATACATGACCACCACTGGACCACTGTTGAGGCGGTTCCCTGCTAAAATCTATAGCCACATGTTCGTGTCTCCAAGTTTGGCACCCCTACAAGGTGTTGTACTCTTCAGTGATGGGAGAATTGGCCAGTCCCCCTCCGCCACACCCCAAACCCAAAGCAGAAGAAAGAAAAAACAACAGGCTTCCTCCAACGAAACAGATCAAAACGATCCCCAAACCAACGGTAGACTGCCGATATCGTCAGTGACACGCGCGGTCGACATGAGGAGCGCGCCATCTGCGATCTCATTGGCGTCGGCGTCCAGCGCATGATACAGCGACTGCCACGGTCGTGTTCAAGACTGCATGGCGTGCATTCGTTTCTGGTTGTTCGACATTTTGGTGTGGCATCGTGCAAAACTTATATAGCTTCAAAGGAACAAACAAGCACTGGCCCCACTATTTTGTGGTAGGTTTCAAGGGAACCATCAACCAGTTTCTGACCCAGTCACCCCTAGAGACAGAAACAAAAACCACTGGACATGTCACCAGGCAGGTGCCTCGAAGAAGGACTGCTGCTGCTCATCCTGCGTCCCAGAGGGTCGAAAGTTCGAAGAAATCCATGACACCCTGGCTTTTCTGTCCTGTTCTGAACACCCCGATTCCTCTCAAACCTGTTTCTGTCAGCAAAATCTTGTACCTCCCCTTACGCCACAAGGGAAACTCAACTCTTGGAGTGTCGTGAATTGTAAGCTTAGAACAAATACATATAGGAACATCTGACGAAACGAGGTACTGTAAAGTGCGATTGACCGTTAACCGGGTGAGAAGCCAATGAAACCTCTAGCAATCCACGCCATCGATTCAGCCGCCAAACCAATGTCCTAAAATATCAAAATGCCTTGGCATTTGCTTCAAGAAACGGATGAACAAAAGCCACGATTCACACCTTGATTTGTTTTGCACAAACCAAATGGCTGTGGCTCAAAAAACCGGTGCCAAAATGAAACCCCTGCGTAACCCCTGCTGCTTAATTTTGAGCCACACCCAAATGGATCCTCGCCTTGACGACTTTTTGGTCCGAAGCCGGCATGGATGCCGCGCATGGAAAAATGGGCCCCGTGTGAATTATCTGCTCCTGCGCTGTCTGCATGATGTTTCAGTATGCTGCCATTCAGAGTGCCGAAAGTCCACCAAGCGAGTGGTCACCTGAGTGTGTTCTTTGTATATCTCGTGCCCATACGTGTGCACCTGTTCGGAAATACCTGTTTGTTGGGAATCTAACTCTATTGCTCGCATTTCAAACAAGAGGTGTTGCATGCCCTTCAAAACAACCCATCATTACCATTCCCCTCACCGGTTGCATGTTCTTTCATGCTGCTTTCCCAAAATGCGTTGCTGAACGCTTGCCTTTCAGCAGGACCGGACAAGCGGAGAGTTTCAAACATTTGACATGCGGAGAGGCCCAAACATGCAATCCGCCAAGGCTTGGAAGCCAAGTTACAAATCTGAAGCAGATCTCTTGACCTCACCTGAACCTTGACGCTTGCACTTTGCGTGCTGCTTAAGAACCAGGAATCGGCTGTGCAAACAAGCCGAAGTCTCATTTTGACCGTTGCTCGGAGTTGCTCAAGCAATGCTGACTCAGCACTGCCACTGTTGAGCTCGTTCAACCCGCTGGGTGCTCAAGGTTCTGATGGCTCTCTGGCCGATCAGATGCTCAAGTTGGCCACAAATCCCAACGGGCAAAACCATCCATCAGCGGCTCACTCGCCACTTGTCCAAGACTCGGGGTCAACGACTGAGGCAGACCCGCGGTCAACGAACACGGACGGGGCCACAAACCAGTGTATTGCTAGCCTACGGCTCCCCCTCCAACAACTCCCGGCTTCGGGAGCGTCTCCTCCGATTTCCAACAACTCCAACTGTGGGAGCGTCTCTTCGGCTGATTCCCAACTCCAACCCTGGGAGCGTTTCCAGACATGATTCCAGCTTTCATGGCTTTCCCCCAGGCCAAACGGCGTGAAGCAGTGGAGCGTCATTCAAAGCTGCAACATTGAACGACCCGTGCGATAGGTACAAAATCCAGAACGTCCCTGCGCTAGGCAAAAGCTGGTTGGAACGTGCGCCCCCGAGAGCGCAGCTCCGACCATCATCCGTCTGCTCCGACACAAGAAGCGCCACGGCGGCGCGTGAGTAAAGCACCAAAGCCTATGCCAGGAAGTTGCGAGGTGTCCTCATTCTCTCCGACGTCACATCGCTCAAACTGACAAGCCACTGCGCCCAGAGCGACGTCATTCTGGTAAGCCCCGCAAGAATCAACAGCCGTCAACGCGTCCTTCGCAAAAACTGCATGTGGCATGAAAACCGTCGCGCACTCAAGTCTCATGTTGGCATGGCGGCACAGCGTTCTGAAAGCTCTCAACTCAAGTTCAGCGTGCCCTCTTCAGCTGCTGTGAGTTGCGAAGCAGATTGCTGAACTGTAAAAGGCAAATGCAGGCCGTCAAAACTGTACCTGAAACGGCTAGCCGAGTTGCGAATCGCAGCATCACGCAGTTACCTTTGCAGCATGCTCTCGAAACGCGCTGCGCCATCACCTGTCAAACTTGCGACAAGGTTCCGGACGGGGGCCTTAGCCACACTGCACTGGAACTCTCCGGACCTCTCAAGAGGCTGTGGAGCGTTCCACGTTTGACTCTGCTGACTATGGGTTCCTCTCACCAGACCTCGCGCTCCAAACATCAGACGTTGCTACAGCACAGTCACCCGCTTCACTTGCCAGAGTTCTGTGGCAGGAATGGCAGCGTTCTCATCGCACATCAAAGCTTTCCCCACGGTTCACTACGATTGCTAGTTTCGATCGCATGGCGCATCAATCTACATGACCTCAGGCCCAGCATTGACGGCAAACCCTGCCGTGGGCCGGCAGCGCGCACGGTAAACTTGTCTCTCTGACATGGTCATGGCTTGACAGACAAGTTCATCGCGTGCAGCGTGGGCGAAAAAAATGAGAGGTGCACTTGAAGGGCATCTGCTCCCGAAGCTCTTGCAACTTCAACCACAGAACGATGGTAACAAGAATGCCAAAGGGCAAGAGCGCCTTGATGATGCTCGCCTAAACCAGTCATCATCACACTATACCTCCTTCAGCAGCGCGCACGCGGCAGCAGAAAGCTTCAGCTGCCAAATCTGCGGGTGTTCACTAAATAAACTCGCTGGCACGGCAAGGTGGCTGCTCCTCGCAAGCGAGCAACACGCCTGGCCATGAATTTTGGCCAAATAGGACCTGCAGCACATGCTAGAGCCAGGTTGAAACGCACATGTGGCTCGCAATGGTATGCAATGGCACGTGTCGCTTCTGCATGGGCGCCTTTCCAGCGACATCCAGCGTCCATCATCTGGAACCTCAAGCACAGTTATCCGCGCAGCTGACTGAAGCTGTCGAGTCGTGCTGAAGTGATACCTGTGGAGTTTGCCCTGCAACCCTCGGACTATGGAACTGCAAAATTCCAGGCGCAACTGGGACATGTCAGGTATCTCTGCCTAAGCCAAGAAAGCACGAAGCACAGCATCACGCAATCAAGTTGGAGTTCTCTCCAGTTGCTGTGCCGCGAATCGCCTATGTTTATGCTTCACGAGCACACCTTGATAGTGCGCTGGAATTACATCAAGCTCGGGTTTTCCTATGCAATAAGACCTGGTACATCAACCTTCGGCCAGACTTGCAGCAGTGGCGGCGAGCAACCCATCCTTAGGCCTCCAGCTGAGCTTGACAAGCTGAATCACGGCAAAATGTCTAGGGAAACCATGCCGATTGCAGAAGGCAGCCTGGACTCATCGTTATCAGCCGCGATTGCTACCTTCACCTTCAAACATGTCGACCCAGTGTGACCCTGAAAGCCCTCACAAAGCGCACGTCAAGTCCTACAAACAGCCTTGCACGGACTATGGTTGATGTCTCACCTCTGGCCCAACGCAAGGGCGAATCTGTATCATGTTGCCTTGTTTGCTTTGGATGAGGCCCTTCGTGTTCCGTCTGGTTGCACCACGCGCGACAACAGGCAAACATGCGAGATCCCTTCAACCTCATGGAGCACTGACTGAAACGAACTGCCAGTGTGCAGAAATCAAGGCTGCCTGCAACACAAGTCAGAACAGCTCACCCCGGGATCCTGCACCGTCCGAACAAAATGCGGCTCGCAACAACCTTGATGTTCGGAAACGGCGAGAAATTCAGACGCCTCGATGCCGAGAGCACGTGCAGTATTCATTTACCCCCGAGTCAGCTCGCAGCGAATCCTGCGAGTTGCTCAAAGCACTCGCCACAAACCCAAAGACACAAACCGTGCAGCTCGGAAGCTTGGAATCTCCTAGCCAAGAGGTGCGAACCATGTCTCATTCTCCAGGGGGCCACAGCTATGGTCGCAATCACGGGCATGGTGAGCAGCAACCGAAGCCAACCTTCACCTTTGATGGCTTCGCTAGCCCCTGGGACGTGCTACGGTCAGGTACGGACCGCTAAAGACGCTCGCCTGAATGTTCTCCTCGCGCAATGCAAGAGTCGAAGGTATAGTACATCCGTCACGTCCGTTCCAATCGAATTGGGCACGCAAGGCCGGCGCTTGCTCCAGACCAGCTCGGTTCTGGCGTGAATATACTGGCATCTCAAGGCTACGTTGCCACGCATGGGTGAGATTCCATGTGAGATTCCATGGTATGATATGACTTCAAACATTACGCCTATCCACGAATTGAAGTTACCATTGAAGCACGCCTTGCGCTCCAAGTATTCGGCCACGAGCCCAGCACAAATAAGCAACGTGATACATGCGGGGCATCAGCCCCGAAGCACAGTCTCGCTCTGCCTATGCGAATGGAACTTGCAACAGCTGTTGTCAATCATGCTCGCAGTACTGGCAAGCAAATGCCAGGCAAAATCGATTGCGCAAGAACTGATTGCGTGCAAACATCCGCTGCCACAAGCGCAAACCACCATGAGTCAACCCAACATACAGGCCCCTACCTCCAGAGTTTACTATTGGGTGTAGTATCGCCATTTTAGGACCTAGACTGCTAGGCAGCACAGTTGCGTTCGCGCAACGATGCAATGCCCAACGCAACACCGCTTGGAGAACGTTCTAGTAGCAATCACGCGTGTCAATTCCAAAACGCAGGAGAGCAAACATCACGACGCTGCCTGTAGGATGCTCTGAAGGATTGCTGTGAATCCGAATGCAGAGGCGAATCGCCGGGGTTGGACGTCTAGAATCAATGGGTGCATCAGTGAGAGGTGTACGTTCGACGACGCAATGTGTCTACACCCTCCACTGCCCTCATTTGATGAAGGCTGCGCAGAATCAATAGGCCACCCCTGAAAAGCGAAGATGAGCAAGTCTGGGGCAGTTTGCTGACAAATGGCAGCAGTTCATCTTGCGCAAGAGTCAATACTGAGCTGCCGAAAGGGCATGGTCTTTTAGAAGGATCTTCGAGAGCGTCACAGCAATGGCAATCTGCAAAGAAAGCGCAATGAACCTTCAGCAAGAGCGTTTGCAACTACATTTCTGATCCTGTCTGCCAAGCAGCTCTGGCTTTCTTCTGACAGGCAGCGCTCATATGAGGCACGCTCCATATTCATTGCGCATTTCCGTGGCATTGGATGTTGGCCAGAAACCACATTTCTTACTGGTTTTTCGGCAAGTATACCCAATGTCATTCCCTTTACGACAGAAAATGACAGTAAAAACTGACCGTTGCTCGTGTGGGCATAAGCAACGCCAAAATGTTGGGCCTTGGAAAGGGCATGAGCACTGCAAATGCATGAGCGCCAACAAGCATTTTGTGCGCTAACAACTTGGGCTTCATGGTCATACTTCAAGTTTGTGAGAACAAACCGTAGCGCAACATGCAACCGCGGAATTCCTGCTGCATCCTCACACAAGCGCTCAGGATTCTGGAAGATTACACTGCTGCCGACGCGCGCAGGCAGCGGCCGAAACACAACTCAGACAAGCCACACCGGCAGTGTGCGCGCCAAGTCCGTCAAAGACAAGGGTCAATTGGTCAACATGGTAGTCATCATGATCCTAGATTTCTGGGACACGCCGCCCCGCTCGCAGAAACCCACGCGCTGTAGTCGAAACTCCACCAGTTCAACACGGGCCTTGCGCCAATCGTCAGGAAGCTCACGGGCCTGCAACAGCAAGGGCTCATTGGATCATTGTCAAACTGGGGGCTGACGTTCTAGTTTGCCAGGTGAAGCAGTGTAGGTTTTGCTGGCCTTGTTGCTGCTTTGACCAACACAGGGAGGCTTCACACCAGTTTCGCCTGACAAGGCCGCGTGTCCCACGAATTGCGCAGCTTATTGCCGCGCATTCCTAACAGGCTGGCATGGAACGCATCCAAGTGTGGAGTACGGGCGCAAAATGTCCTCAAACACATGCAGTTAGCACAGGAAGCAGGCTTCTGTGATCGGGCGTCCTCAGCAGGTGTGCATGATGGGGCTAGACATACGGAATGGCATCTGCAGGTCTACTCCTTTGCTTTTCATTACTGCAGCTAGCTGCAGAGTGACGGAAGAGCTGCGCGTTTTGCACACTCTGTCAGGCAAGGTGCTCAAGACGAGGAAGCGCATTTCCGGCTCGCTTTGCAAAAGCCGCTTGCAAGCTTCAGGAACAGCATGGCCTGCGCAGCCTCAGTTCCTGTTGCAGGCAACTGCCGGCGACTTTTCAGACTGGGCGGCAACACCAACTCCTCTTCGGCCTGGTTGCACGAGACGAGCCGCTAGCATCTTGGGCATCATTCATGGCCTGGACATGCATACAATCGCGCAAGGTCCTGCCAAGGCCACTCAAAAGGCGTCAGCCAACTACGTTGGAGTTTGGCCGTGGATGCTCAGTGCAGCGTAGCGCCGTGCTCTTGCCAAGTAGGTCCTGCAGGCGTTGCTCCGGCAACAGGCAACAACACCTGGTGGCCACACTGCATTCATGCAGCGATGCTACGCCCAACGCACGCACCCCTCAAGCAACACCAATTGGAAAACGTTCTAGCAATCACACATGTTAATTGCAATTGGCGAGCAAACATCACGACACTGCCTGTCGCATGCTCTAAAGGATTGCTGTGAATCCGAACGCAGAGGCGAATCGCAGGGGTTGAACGTCTAGAAGCAATGGGTTCATCAGTGGACGCTCGACAACGCAATGTGTCTACACCCTCCGCACAGCCCCCAGCGGCCTGCGCGTGATGGCGGCTCACAAAAGCGAAGATGGGCAAATCTGGGATAGTTTGCTGACAAATGGCAGCAGTTCATGCTGCGCAAGAGTCAATGTTGATGAGCCGCTGGATGGGCATGGTGTCACGGCGTCTAAGCATTGCACATTGCTGGCGCTTCTTGAAAAGAGTCCCAATTGTCAACATCAGAGGCAACCTGCAAAGAATGCCCATTGGACTGAGAGCACTTCTGAAGAACCCGTCAAGCGCGTTTACATCTAGGTTTGTGACCCTCTCAAAAAGCTTTGCTCTTCTGGCACCACCGACGACGGGCAGCACTCGCGCAAGTTCGGAGCCACACTGTTGAAACTTGCGCCGAGCAAAAATGTTGGCAGAGCGTTTGCAGCATTTGCGCTTTGCAACGGGCAGGGCACCGTCTCACACGTTGCAGAAACCGGCCGGATTACAGCTTCGTGCTCCCAATTCCAATTCCACGCGACTTGAACAGCACTTCGCACAAGCTCTGCGAGACCTTCTCACCTAGAAGTAAGCAAAAGCTGCCAATCTGGTTCCATCAGAAGCACCCAGGATTCCAACAGTTCAAAAGCGCTGGTCACGCAACCCGCGGTTGTCTAAAGATAGTTTGTAGCCTGCTTTGGATTGAATTGAATACGCCTCTTGCTGTTACTGCTGCTGCAACCCACATCGACCGACAGTGGATGCGCCAAGTCCGTCAAGGACACCGGTCAATTGGTCAACACGGTAGTCATCATGATCCTAGATTTCTGGGACACGCCGCCGCTCGCAGAAATCCACGCGCTGCGGTCGAAACTCCACCAGTTCAACACACGCCTTGAGGCAATCGTTGAGAAGCTAACGGGCCAATAGCAAAGGCTCATTGGATCATTGTCAAACTGCGGGCTGACGTTCTAGTTTGCCAGGTGAAGCAGTGTAGTGTTGCTGACCATGTTGCTGCTTTGACCAACACAGGGAGGCTTCACACCAGTTTCGCCTGACAAGGCCGCGTGTCCCACGAATTGCGCAGCTTATTGCCGCGCATTCCTAACAGGCTGGCATGGAACGCATCCAAGTGTGGAGTACGGGCGCAAAATGTCCTCAAACACATGCAGTTAGCACAGGAAGCAGGCTTCTGTGATCGGGCGTCCTCAGCAGGTGTGCATGATGGGGCTAGACATACGGAATGGCATCTGCAGGTCTACTCCTTTGCTTTTCATTACTGCAGCTAGCTGCAGAGTGACGGAAGAGCTGCGCGTTTTGCACACTCTGTCAGGCAAGGTGCTCAAGACGAGGAAGCGCATTTCCCGGCTCGCTTTGCAAAAGCCGCTTGTAAGCTTCAGGAACAGTATGGCCTGCGCAGCCTCAGTTCCTGTTGCAGGCAACTGCCGGCGACTTTTCAGACTGGGCGGCAACACCAACTCCTCTTCGGCCTGGTTGCACGAGACGAGCCGCTAGCATCTTGGGCATCATTCATGGCCTGGACATGCATACAATCGCGCAAGGTCCTGCCAAGGCCACTCAAAAGGCGTCAGCCAACTACGTTGGAGTTTGGCCGTGGATGTTCAGTGCAGCGTAGCGCCGTGCTCTTGCCAAGTAGGTCCTGCAGGCGTTGCTCCGGCAACAGGCAACAACACCTGGTGGACACACTGCATTCATGCAGCGATGCTACGCCCAACGCACGCACCCCTCAAGCAACACCAATTGGAAAACGTTCTAGCAATCACACATGTTAATTGCAATTGGCGAGCAAACATCACGACACTGCCTGTCGCATGCTCTAAAGGATTGCTGTGAATCCGAACGCAGAGGCGAATCGCAGGGGTTGAACGTCTAGAAGCAATGGGTTCATCAGTGGACGCTCGACAACGCAATGTGTCTACACCCTCCGCACAGCCCCCAGCGGCCCGCGCGTGATGGCGGCTCACAAAAGCGAAGATGGGCAAATCTGGGATAGTTTGCTGACAAATGGCAGCAGTTCATGCTGCGCAAGAGTCAATGTTGATGAGCCGCTGGATGGGCATGGTGTCACGGCGTCTAAGCATTGCACATTGCTGGCGCTTCTTGGGAAGAGTCCCAATTGTCAACATCAGAGGCAACCTGCAAAGAATGCCCATTGGACTGAGAGCACTTCTGAAGAACCCGTCAAGCGCGTTTACATCTAGGTTTGTGACCCTCTCAAAAAGCTTTGCTCTTCTGGCACCACCGACGACGGGCCGCACTCGCGCAAGTTCGGAGCCACACTGTTGAAACTTGCGCCGAGCAAAAATGTTGGCAGAGCGTTTGCAGCATTTGCGCTTTGCAACGGGCAGGGCACCGTCTCACACGTTGCAGAAACCGGCCGGATTACAGCTTCGTGCTCCCAATTCCAATTCCACGCGACTTGAACAGCACTTCGCACGAGCTCTGCGAGACCTTCTCACCTAGAAGTAAGAAGAAGCTTCCAATCTGGTTCCATCAGAAACACCCAGGATTCTGACAGTTCAAAGACGCTGGTCGCGCAACTCGTGGTTTGCTTCGAACAGTTTGCGGCCTGCTTTGGCTTAGATTGGATAAGCCCGCCACTGCTACAGATTCCGCCCGACTTCACGGCAGCGGCCGAAACACAACTCAAATCGCTTCCACACCTACCCTTTGGGGCATGCCAGACGCGCCAACCGGTCAACAGGGTCACATGGTAGCTGTCACACTTGTCCTGAACTTCTGGGGCGCGGTCCTCACTTTTGCAGACATCTATCGAAATCGGTCTGAACGGGTCCCTCCAACTGTCAACATCCCTGAATTAATTAGAAACTGACAGGGCTGCACAAGCTGGTTGACAACACCATGGAAAGATCGGCTTTCTGCCGACGCCCCAGACCTTGTCCTGGGCCTCTCGCGGAGCGCAAAGCCTGGACATTCGCACCAGGCTCGCAACAAGCAAAACTCTTGCACGGCATCTGGCGCACCTTTCTGCCTTGCAAGCTTCCCATCACTTGCAGAACGACGGTAAGATGCAACAAATCATGCATGCCGTCGTTTGCTTGAAGCACGCTTGTGGAACAAATTGGCTTTCGGCCCATTTGCTGCGCATTCCCACAATGACAATCAACAGTTGCCCAATTCCAAGTGGGGAAGGTAGCACCGGTTCCAAGTTTGCACTCAGCTTCAGGCTTTGGTTTTGCGCTGACTGGCTCGACAAGTCAAGAGCTGCTGCTGAACGCACGCCCACGTGCCCTCACGCAATCAAACATGTCGCCGGCTATCAGAGTTATCACTGAGCTCGACACCTTCCCAGTGCTCCGGGGGCTTGAGCTACCGACATCCGGAGATTCGCACATGGCAGGCCCCGCATGTCACGCAGAGAAAGGAAAGCTGGAACCCTCAACTAACCGTCCCGATGCAGGATTGCCGAACACTCCCTCGCAACACATCATGGAAGATGGGGCGCAAGATCTATCAAGTGCGATTTCGGAATCGATTCCGCCACTTGGCACGCTGTAAATCACATTGCCTCGGGTCACGACGCAAATCCTCTACACATCTTGTCAAAGCAATACACTGCCGAGGTATCCATCGCTGGGTTCCAGCAGAAGGATACCCAACAAACCTTGCTTGGTGCACGGGAGTTCTTGCAACGAAGGTCCAGGCTAGCCAGCCTGCGTGAGATCTAACACACCACGTTTGCAAATCAACGTGGCTGGGCGCTCACATTCCGGCGACATGCCAGTTCTCAGCCCGTGTCTGTCCGTCGGGATAAATGGAAAGGCCGAGCTCAATTCCATTCAAGATGCCACAATTTTACGCTTTCAGGATAAAAAGGTCACAAACGCTCTGCATGTGAGCTGGACTAGGCATGATTGCAATCGTGGGAATCTCAGGACCGATCCGGAGACGCCGATATGGGGACTTGATACACCGGATGCTTGAAAAAGGGCACTTCCAGAATGATGTGGTCACGGGAAGCCTTCCTGCCAAACAAACACAGCTTGCTCTGGTCCGAGCGCGCCATCAGCGCGCCCACCAGCGCGATTGCATGGCTTGCGCATGCAAGCCATGTGGCCTGCGGATGGCGCCAACATCCCCAGCGCATCCATGTCAAGATCGAGTTTTGCAGCTTGCAGCCTTGCTCTGCATCAATAAAGCGCCCCACCCCTTGCTCCTGAATCGCCAACATCAAGAATCTACTGGCCTCGCGGCCTCGCGGCCTCGCCCAAGGCGTGAGTTGTGACTCCTAAGCTCTGCAAGCACAAGCACTACGGTCCCGGAAACTCACAGCTATGAAGTTGAAGATTCAACCTGTCGGGCGATGGCTTGTTCTGGCTGCCCTTGATCCGTTGCCCTTGCAAGCCCATGAGGAATGAGAAACTGCAGCCGCTGGAACCGGCTGCGTCATGGACCAGCTGCCAGGACGGCCTAGAAGTACTCTGCTCAGTCATCTAGACCAGCATCATCCGACCAGAGCCTGGGCATTGGCCAAAAACTTGGCCGGCTGGGCAGCTGAAGAGGAACACAGGAGATGAGCCGCAACGGTGCGAGTTGCGGCCTGTTGCCTTAAGTCTGTGATTTGTTTCAGCCCTGCTCCACACCGGATGCGAACACAGCTCTTCAAGATTGTGTGCTCGAAGACCTTGTGCCAACGAAAGCGTGAAAGCAAAGCAGCGGCGTCTCCCTCATTCCAACTGCGCCGACAGCACCGTCCAAACCTAAACGCCTGGTGTTGCACAAGCACAAGCGCAGGAGCGCAAAGCCAACACTGTTCTTTGTCACACAAAACCTCGGTTCGACTCTGAAGCAAGGCTGCCACTGAGACTTGATGCCCGCAGAGTACTGACGCAGAGGTTTCTATGAGCGAGGCCCAAGCAAGTGACACGTGTCACGCGCCAGCAGGGGCACGATGAGACATCATGTTGCGCAGCCACCTGTGGCGATTATGTTCTGCGCTTAAAGGCAGTGTCAAGAGCTCTCTTCCTGCCTTCAGCCCTTCGTCAAGCCAGAACGCCGTCATGTCTTTACGCACAGAAATGGCAACATGGTTGGCATTGGCTCAACACAGCTTTGAGATCCATGAGGACAGACCTGCGCGCACTTGGCAGTTTACAAAGATACTAGGACACACAGCGCGACACGAACTGTAATGCCCGAACATCTGCCGAATGCTGCATTATGATGCTGATTTGCCAACATGTCTGAAGACCTCGCCACTGGGCAACTGCTGCAATGAGAACAAGGAAAGCAACGTCGAGTCTACGCAAGTGGAAAGCTGAGCGCATTGTCTAGCGGGATGATTCTTCGATCCCTCCGCCTGACCTCCGAGCAGAAACTCGCACGGCAGGCATACTTGCCTGCAGGCGCAATCCGATGAAGCTCCCCTACTCTGAACAATAGAAAGACGCCAATCACAACCACGAACAAATGATCTGTGGGGCTGGAGCGCAGCGTCGCATGATGCGAGAATTGACACCAGGCGTGCGTTTGTCTCACATACAGATTGCACTCCGCAAGCGTAGCAAGTGCCAGGTGGCTGTGGGTCAAAACCAATGGTACCATTTTGGGGTAGGCGCACCACCCATTTTAGTCGATTTTAGTGGGGACTGGGATGTTCACTGGGGGTACGGGCTTTTGACGCATGGCCAGGTCCTTCCAAGTTGGAGAAATGGCGAAGCTGGGCGCCGGCCTTCCGGTTGCTTCTGGGGAATTGAATCTGCAATGCTGACCCATGCTTCATGCAAGCGGACGCGTGTCATCCCAACGGCACCTTCCCGAGTGCGCGTTGTTGGCCCACCAAGCAAGATCAAGATTGCTCGGCAGCAGCAAGGCAGTTGAAGGGAACACGAACCACAAAATCCAGAACGAGGCCTACTTCAAGCGGGCAAAAACACTCTTGCGCGCGTGCGCACAGGCCTGATCTTCACATCACAAGGACCTGCTTCTCCAAAAGCCCAGGGTGTCGCACAACATGCTCCGAGGACAGGGCGACTGCCATGAGACCCTGAGTGAAGGCCCTGCTCCACACCGGATGCGAACACAGCTCTTCAAGATTGTGTGCTCGAAGACCTTGTGCCAACGAAAGCCTGAAAGCAAAGCAGCGGCGTCTTCCTCATTCCAACTGCGCCAACAGCACCGTCCAAACCTAAAGGCCTGGTGTTGCACAAGCGCAAGCGCAGGAGCGCAAAGCCAACACTCTTCTTTGTCACACAAAACCTCGGTTCGACTCTGAAGCAACGCTGCCACTGAGACTTGATGCCCGCAGAGTACTGACGCAGAGGTTTCTATGAGCGAGGCGCAAGCAAGTGACACGTGTCACGTGCCAGCAGGGGCGCGATGAGACACCAAGCAGCGAAGACGAGAAACCAGAAACACAAATGTTGTTTTCCTCCTCTGCAATGGCACATCGTCATCCTCAAACTCACATCTTTGACGTCTTACAGCATGCAGCGACTTGCAACAAACATCATGCCTGCTAAGTGCAGCCTGCAGCGAACACAAATCGAGGCTGCCCAAATATCGGATATCAAGCTTTCCGCCGACATACTGCAAGGCGACCTGCTTGCTTTGGCTCTCTATTTTACTTCTCACGTTCCTGGTCCTCTGCATCTTTAAGGCGCAAAGACCTGTCAGCTTCAGCGCAAACCTGTGAGCGGACCGCGAGGCTTTCGCGCGAACGCAAGCCTCATGGCTTCGCCTGACCCAGTTCAGAGAGATTCAAACAATGGTGTTGAGCATGTTCTTTCGAGCAGCACTGCGTGTTGGGTTGCAGCTGGGCAACATCACTTTGCGGCAACAACAGCGTTCATGCAGCGATCCGGCATCAAATGCGGGCACCCCTCAAGAGGCAGAACCAGCAAAACTCCTGGCAATCACTCGCATCAATCCATGCTAACCCCAAGAGCTGCCAAACGAACATCAACGCCCTGTCGGTAGCAGGCCCTTGAGGGCTGCTGCGAATTCATGCAAAAAGCAGCGCCGGAGTTGGACATCTAGAATCAAGGAGTCAATCAATGAGCAGGTGGACGAGGGACGATGACATGCATCTGCCACTTGCCCTCATTTAAATCGTGGCCACTGCGCAGGAGCGAGGTCTTGGTGGCGGATTCCTGGCGTTGCTTGGGCAAAGACCCAAAAGACCCACGTGCAAGCAGCATCACGGAAACTGATGGCGGTCACGCCTGCACTTCAAGGCTGCAGCTATGCAAATCAGACCTTCTTTTCCCGGAAGATGCCAGCCTTCCAACTCCGTGAAAGCCAAGAAACACAAGCTCAGATTCCGCCTACTCAGTTCGTAGTCACGTCAGATCGTTTAGACTCATTGGTTCTGCAAACGACTCACGCGCTGCAGACTAGGTGCATTCGCTGCCGCTCCCTGCCTCAAAGTTGATGAGTTGCAGTGGCACACTGGTCTTCGCATCGAAACACAAGCCTTGGCACGGGTCAATTCATTGTACTTACATCTCCTGAACGACTCTTAAGCAGGCTTGTGGCAGACATCACGGCATCCATGACCAGCAACCGAAGCACACAGGTGCTGCCGCACCCTTGCTCCTGTGCCATTCACAGAAAAACGAGCCCCTGCCGGAAGTATTTGGCCACTGGGCCTTTTCACGATAGCCTCTCAGCAAACGAGAGGCGCAGCTCTCGCTTCTCCCGACCTCCCGACGCAAACGCGCGGCTACGAACAGCGCCAACGCACTTCCTGCGCCAAAGGCTTCCCGGGAGTTCCGCGTAGAGTCGCCCCCTTCAAATGGCCAAGGATGAGCCGAGTGGTCTGAAGTCCTGCCATTTTTGTTTCTTGGGAAGGCAAAGCCAGAACGAGGCATGTCTGACCACGCAAGCCACACGAGTCCTGACCTGCACCACGCAAAGCCAGCAATGCCGTGGAAACAGCAGCATATGCACCGCGCGCTTGACAACTACCTCGGGTTGCGCTCCAGCGCATGAGGCGCAACGGTGTCTACCGCCCGGCTGCGGGCATTCAGCATCTGTGGCTGCCACTGCACACGCTCGGGTCACGCTGAGCCAATCGCCCTCCCAGGGCTGCTCCTACTCCATCGCAAAAGGAATCGACCAGAGAATGGGCACGCTCCAGCGGATGGGCCAGCCAGCTCTACAGCACAGCCCATGCATGCCAAAGCAGGGTTGTGAGAAGGGCTCCGTCGCAGCTATGGCCTAAGGTCTGAAGCCCTTGGCCGAGCGCGAACGCTGCATCTTGGGGCAGGTGCAAGCCACGTGCTACTTCACCTGGCAGCTTGGTGAGGCATTGGTTATTCATGGTGGTTTGCCTCTTGACAGGCTGTGTCACGACCGTGCTGGTCCAGCGTTGTTGGCTGCGCTGCAAATGGTCTTGCAAGCGTATTTACTTTCAGCCTCAGCTCCTGCACCAGACATGTGCTGCCAAGTCTGCAAAAACCGATTCCACACGATTGTGGGCACAAACGCTCCTTAGCTCCGAGCAAATGGAAGCTCGAGCGATCAAAGTCCGCGACCGCAAGCTTCCCAGTCTTGAAGCGGGGCTCGGATTCCTTGCTTGCGCCTCGCTAGGCAGCCTGAGACTCAGACCGCTGGAGCGCTCTAATCTCGCCCTGCCTGTGACAAGCCTCAGGATTCCCTGGAGCAACAACTAAAGCCAGCAACCCTTTCAAGCTGAAGCCCGAAAGGACTTCCTGCCATGCCGAGCGCAACTGCTTCAATGTCGCCCGCGCTGTTGAGCGAGACAAACTTGCGACGTGAAAGAGCATACACGCAAGCTCAGATTGCCTCTGGTGAAGACTCTCTAGGACAAGCGGGCCAAGAGGGCAACGCGCTCAAATGCTGAAAGCGAATGATGTCATTCAAACGGAAAGGAGCCCGGCACGGATGGCAGACCGCGAGCAGGCCTGCCAAAACGGCAACGTGCGAAAGCCCAACACTCGTGCCGTACAGGACTGCGTAGGTAACATGCCTCCCGTGCTCAGGTAACCAGAGTGGCTGCGGGCACAAAGCAGGCTTGGGATACCGCACGAAGAGACCGCAGGCTATCACGCTGATTGAGGTGAAGAGCTTCGTGACTGTGTCGAAAGAGCACCTCAACAGGGGCTTTAAGATTATCCACCTGGCTTCCGCAACCGTCCGCGACATGGGGTTTTGCTTGCGCTGCAATGAACTTGCTATGCTCCGCGGAAGCTTCCAAGAGTTGACGGGACACTGCCGAACGCAAAGCTTAACTGCCTGAAAAGAGCCTTGCTTCCAGCAACTTCTCTGTGAAGCCACACGCTTGTGACTGCGAGCCCAGCTCAAGTTGAGACATCCTCTGAATCTGCAACAGACATTCCGGATGACCGCAGCGCCCGTGAGTGATCTGAGAGTGAGATCAGCCAGCCAACACTTCTGATAGCTCCCGGCAAGCGGGTGCGGCCCATTTGCTGCCCGAGGTCGGCACGAGGTCCGCGCGCAGATCTCCCATTGCCAGGCTCCGAGCGCACCCGTGGGGGCCGGCCAGGTCAAGCACAGGAGTATCCATGGAAGTCCGTAACATCAAGCCCCAGAAGCCGGGCTCAAGATGTTTGCGTGCGGGGCCTGACAGAATTCAGCGTCGAGAACTCCACTCTCATCCGGCCAGCAGGCCTCGTGAGCCCCAAGGCAGAGATGCTTACTGCTGCCCAGAACATGGGCAGACTGTCACGTTGCGTCAGATAGACGTCCGACTAGCAGTCGGCGGAGAGGTGACCTGCGCTTGGCGCAGCCTTGTATGGCTTCAACCCAGGCGTGCGATGACCAGCTCCGCAACAAAGGCCGCATCTATGTTCAGCAAGAAGTCCTGCAAGGGCAACGTATTGGAGCTCGGGAGCCAGAATAGCAACAACCAGCTGCAAGCAAAACCCGAAAATGGGGCATGGGTCCATGGGGAACTGGGCCACTCAAAGATGTCCTGGCATACCGCGCCCTTGTCGGCGTCGATGCGGCTCATACAGGGCAACCTCGCTGTGAGGTTTGCAAGATGAAGCAATGCTTGGCACAAGTGGCGCCGTTCCTTTCCGTGACAAACATGATTGCCGCACATCCACCCACGGTGTCGTTAAGCGATTCCCGAAACCCTTGGTAACCAGACCCATGAAAACAGTTCCTAAACTCCTGTCGCACAACTGTATAATTTAAGGCACGTGCCATCACGCATTCTGGCAGCGGTGGAACTCACTTATCCACCAAGAACACTTGCACGAAAGGGTTCCCAGAGCCAAGAAATGACAATTCGGCCAAGCGGCCAGATTATCTCGCTTCTTTTTCTTTGGTGGCGCTGTAGGGAAGTCTGTGACCCCAAAAGTTGTTTGTGCTGATCTCTGCCCCACAAATACAGGATCCCTGGATTCCCTTCAAAGGTTGCAGGTTGCTGGTGGTGTCCATTGAAACGAACGAAAACCGGAAAGGGAGGCTTCAATTGGCAGAGCTTCTAGCCAAGGCGCAGCCTCTCAGATGGGGAGCCTCTGTACAACGGCGTCAAGCGTCAAGCGGCACCTTGAGATTTTTGCTTCTGATTTTGGCTTGGCTGACAATTGCGCGCACTGTCCTGCGCTCTCAAAAAAAACTAGCACGTGCAGCTGTCACAACTCATGGCTTCATCGCTTCATCTCTTTGAGCCGCAATGTGGGCGCACCTGAGACTCGGATCTAGGCGTTCCGTCACTCCGCAATGCTCATTGAGAAATTTAGCATCACTTTTTTCCCCCTAGTGACCTGTTGTACGAGTGACTTGTTGCAGGAGTAGCCGTCGATTGATCTGGGTCCGTCAGGGTACCCCCTTCCATTCTGAGACAAACCCATCTCTAAAGTGACGACTCAATCCTGGCCGGCTTCCAACACAAACGCATTCTCAACTTGCCCTGCTGGATGTCCCGTTTGGTCCAAAGGCGCCACAAGACTGATGTTGCGGGTGGGCCGGGACGCGGCGTAGTGGTTCAGAATAGGCGCAATTCAGAAGTGGTAAATATTGAGGGCCTGGGTGGGTCCAGAACAAAACATTTACACTCCCTCAGGCCTCTGCAAATGGAGCCAAGTCTTCGAAAGGGGCCCTTGGAACTTCCATTTTAGTCTGGGGGAAGGTATCAGTCCTGTCTTGTCTCAAACCCTCGTAGAACCAAAAGCTGGGTCGCATGGACGAGCACATATGCGCACATATGTTTGGCGAACGGCCCTCGGAATCCCAGAACACTTAATCCACCCGGTGTGTGGCAAGCAAACAGAATGCTCGGAGGTTTGTTGGCGATCTTTCTCAAACACCAACCGATGGAATGCACCTGGCCGTCATCAAGTAAGAGCCCCAACATCCACGCGCGTGAAAACAGGCGCCAAGCATCACTGCGGACGTTTGCTCATCCGCTTAACCTCAAACCATTGCTCGACATGCTAAACCGCGCGGTAAAAAAAAGGGTGCAATAGCTTCCTTCACGCAGTCAAATTGCTCAGCCCCTTCCAACAGCTCCAGCTGCACGCTACCAGTGTGCGGCGGGAGTCCGAGAGACATCCGCTACCACTGTTGGCAACAAACTTGCAAGCATGGCTTTGCTTTGCTTTCACGAAGTCATCTCTGGGGAATATGGGCATTCTGAAAGGTGTCCTATTCGATTGCCTTCCAGCAAGCAGGCGCGACTGTTCAAATACGCCATGTCCATAGCTGAATTCCTGTACCCGAGTATGCATTTCCTTGTGAGCCAAAAGAATGATTGTTGCTACAACAGCAGATTCGGAACCAACACAAGGGCTTGTCAAAGTCGAGAAAAAAGGAAGAAAAAGGCGTTCGTCCCTTTGGTTTCCCTTGTGTTCACCAACCCAAGACGGACACCCAACCAAAACACCACACACAAAAAACGGAGGGAAAAGAAAGAAGAAACAAAACCTTCGGCAGGCGAGCGGCACGTAGTGATGCTTCGCAAAATCTCTCCGGGACACCGGCCTGCACGAGCTTGGGCTTTGCCAGCCTGCCATGTCCAGCACCGATTGCTTCGAAGAGCCGGGCGCCGGCATGCCGGCGCTGCAGGCCGTCATCACGGCCTCTGGTCGGATCACGATTCGTTCCCCAGAACACAAAAGGAAACACCCGGTAGCTGGGAGGCTTCAGGGGCCCCCAAGCCCTCTCCCGCACCAAAAAAAAGCGGCAATCTGTCGAAAAAGCGTGCAAAGCGTGGGGAAAACCTGGACTCCGGTCACGCCAAGCCGCTATGACTGCGTTGTAGTCAAGCCAATCGGAGAGCACCAGCTCGTGATTGCTGAAGTTGAATTCCTGCTGGATGTTGTTGCACATCTGCTCGGAGAGCTGTGTCCAGCGGCTGCTGTTCAGCATCCAGTCTGAACGAAGGCCTTGCCCCTGAAGAAATCCCAATGAAAAGCCATAAAGGTCGTCGTAGAGGTAATGACTGGCGTCCATGTAACTCGAGATTTCCCTGCCGTCAAACTTGTACGTGACGAGCGGGCCTGTGTTGAGCCCTTTATAGTCCGACCCCCTCATTGCAAGAATGACCTCTGACATGTTCTCTGTGCCTGGAAAAGACACGTAGAATGCCGTGCCGTTGAAGTAGCAGAAGCCGTCTGTGTGCGGGTGTTGCTGCATGACGAGAGGTATGGGAACGTAGCAGTCCGCAGCATGTGTGTGGCAAGCACAGGCGTTTGCCTCTGCGCAAAGCCCTTCTTGGAGTAGGTGGCCGCAACCAGACTTCGGCGCCTCATCCGTCCACTCCACCAAGCGCGAGCGACTGGCGCAGTTGGAAACATCGCAGAGTGCTCCTTTGCCTCCGCTTTTGTCTTTTGATTGTTGGACCGCTCCTGGCTGTCTCGCAGGTCCTCGGAGCAGGCACTTGGCAGCCGCGTGCACTCGCATGCCGTGGACGATGGCCTCGGTGACCTCAGCAGAGTTCGAGTCATTTGCCATCAACTCCTGCAGCGCCTTCTCGTCGGCGAAGGACTCAACTGTCAGGTCAAGCATCGAAATAGAGTGAAAGCTTGGAAGCAACTGCTCCAATTCCGCGCAAGCCCGATCTGAAGCCTCCTCCAAGAAGCTGAAATTGTGAAGGAGTTGCTCTGCATCAAGATCATACCATCCGTTGACGAGGCAGTACACGTCATCCAGAGGGTACACATGGTCCCGGGTCGTGACTGCGCGACCATCAGGCAGTCTGAAGGTGAATGGGGTTGCCGAAGGCGCAGTAAAGAATTCGGAGACAAATCCAAACTCCTGCCTCGGTTCGTCCAACTCAAAGACTCAAGCAAGCAAGAAAGTACCCACGGACGCAACGCAACACAACGCAACCCAAAACTGATTCGGCCTATGTCTTGTTGAACCCTCCTTCCTCATTTCGGGGTATGACTGGAGTACGCAGGGCGGCAGCATCGTTTGCCAACCAGTGAGAACGCACAGCCAGGACCAGCGCCCATGACAAATGTGACAAATGCAGGAAATGGCAACTAACAATCATAATAATAATGATGAAAATGATAATCAAAATCCGCCCATCATCATCATCATCATCATCATCACATCATCATCATCATCATCATCATCACGGTGCTCATCATCATCAGCTTCTTCGTCATCGTGCTTATCTTTTTTTATATACGTTTCAAGTGTCCCGGTAGACCCGATTCGAGATGCAGAAGATGCGCGGACATGATTATCATGATGACTGCTGGTGATGCTGAGGATGCGTCATGATGATTATCATGTCAGTTTCATCATCATCATCATCAGCATCATCATCACGGTGCTCATCATCATCATCTTCTTCGTCATCATCCTTATCTTTTTTATGTACGTTTCAAGTGTCCCGTTAGACCCGATTGGAGATGCAGAAGATGCGTGGACATGATTATCATGATGACTGCTGGTGATGCTGAGGATGAGTCATGATGATTATCATGTCAATTCATCATCATCATCAGCATCATCACGGTGCTTATCATCATCATCTTCTCCGTCATCGTCCTTATCTTTTTTTATATGATTATCATGATGACTGCTGGTGATGCTGAGGATGCGTCATGATGATTATCATGTCAGTTGGTGTTCATCATCATCATCATCATCTTCTTCGTCATCGTCCTTATCTTTTTTTTATACGTTTCAAGTGTCCCGTTAGACCCGATTTGAGATGCAGAAGATGCGTGGACATGATTATCATGATGACTGCTGGTGATGCTGAGGATGCGTCATCATGATTACCATGTCAGTTCATCATCATCATCATCAGCATCATCACGGTGCTTATTCATCATCATCCGTTAGACCTTCTAATACATAAAAAAATGATAAGGACGATGACGAAGAAGATGATGATGACGAGCACCGTGATGATGATGCTGATGATGATGATGATGAACTGACACGATAATCATCATGACGCATCCTCAGCATCACCAGCAGTCATCATGATAATCATGTCCACGCATCTTCTGCATCTCAAATCGGCTCTAACGGGACAACGTATATAAAAAAAAATAAGGACGATGACGAAGAAGAGAGCACCGTGATGACGATGCTGATTATGACTCAAATTGGGTCTAACGGGACAATGAGGAACACGATGATGAGAATGATGATGAACATGATGATGATGAGCCTGATGATGATGATGAACATGATGATGAAAATGATGATGAACATGATGATGATGAAAAGGATGATGAACATGATGATGATCATGATGATGATGATGATGACGATGATGATGAACATCACCATCATCATCAGCGTCATCATCATTTTCACGTTCATCACATCCCCAGCATCTGCAGCAGTTACCATGACAATCATGACAACGCATCTTCTGCATTTCCAGTCGGGTCTAACGGGACACTTGAAACGTATATAAAAAAGAAGAGCGCCACGGTTTTGATGATGAACATGATAAGGAACATGATCCTGCTTTCTTGTCATGTTCATCATGAGGATGCGCATCGGGATGATGATGATGATGATGAATATGATGACGATGATGATGATGATGAACATCATCACTTTCATCATCATGTCCATCATGATCATTTTCGTCATGTTCATCATCATCATCATCATCATCACCATCATCATTTTCATCATCATGTTCCTCATTATTTTCATCATCGTGTCCATCATGATCATTTTCTTCATGTTCATCATCATCATCATCATCACCACCATCATTTTCGTCATCATGTTCCTCATTATGTTCATCATCATCATCATCATCATCCTATCACTGCACATCCTCAGCATCACCAGCAGTTAGCATCATCCCCAGCATCAGCAGCGCAGCAGTTGTCATGACCTCTGCATTTCCAGTCGGATCAGAAGAGCGCCGTCATCATTTTCAACATCATGTTCATCATACTCGTTGCTTGAATTTGTACCCGTTTGATCAACACACCACTACTCCATCATCATAATCATCATTTTCATCATCATGATCATCATCATTTTCCTTTTCATCATCATCAGCAGCAGTCATCATGACAATCATGACAACGCATCTTCTACATTTCCAGTCGGGTCTAACAGGACGAACATGATGAGGAACATGATCATGCTTACTTATCATGTTCATCATGAGGATGCGTAGTGATGATTATTCATCATCGTCATCGTCATCATCATTATCATTTTCATCATCATCACCATCATGTTCATCATCATCATGTTCATCATCATCATGTTCATCATCATCATTTTCATCATCATGTTCATCATCATCATCATCATCATGATCATTTTCATCCTCATCCTCATGTGCATCATCATCATCATGTTCATCATCATCATCATCATCATCATCATCATCATCATCATCATCATCATCATCATCATCATCATTTTCACGTTCATCACATCCCCAGCATCAGCAGCAGTTATCATGACAATCATGACAACACATCCTCTGCATTTCCAGTAGGGTCTAACGGCACACTTGAAACGTGTATGCCACAGCCCGAAGGCTGTGGCAGCCACAGCCCGAAAGCTGTGGCGGCTACAGCCCGAAGACTGTACCAAAGCCACAGCCCGAAGGCTGTGGCAGCCACAGCCCGAAAGCTGTGGCAGATACAGCCCGAAGACTGTACCAAAG